ATACAAACAGAGAAAAGGAAGGGCCATCAAATATTTTTTATTAAAATTAACTAATAAAAATATCTTTATTATCTATTTATATATTATAGATAAGATATAATAAGATAAATATTTATAAATATTATAAAAAAAGTAATATTTATATTCGAGTAAACTTAGATTTAAGCATGTTTGAATAAATAATTTTTTTTCATTAAAACTTAAACAGAAAGTAACTAATTTTTATTGCAATCATAACAGACACACTTTAAATGAAATTAGTAATAAATCGAAACGTTCAATAAATATATAAATTTTTTATTTATATTATATTATATTTTACTATTGGACTTCAACAGACTGTAATATTAATGAGATCAATTATTTATTTGTAAATATTTTCAATCCGTTTTATTAAAATAGATACAGTAATATAATTGTGAAAGTGCGAATCTGGACGCGTCAGAAAGATATTCGAGTAATATTTGTGTCAGGTGGGCTATTTGACGCAAAGATTTCCTTGTTCTTAGGTTTAACGTTATAACATCTATGTTATGCGTAAGCATTCTTGATCTGTAGTTTCATTCTTTATTATAGAACTAAGAACAATGTAATTCCTTGTTCTTAATTATAGAATAAAAACAACTGACAATAGTGTCAGTTGTCACTGTCATTATTACAAAATGTAATGTCATGTCAATTTACGGTTCGTATTGATTCTAGTTCTGTCAAGATCAATACTATTAAACGTATTTGATGCGGAAATGTGTTTTAAATAAATTATTATCATAATAATTTGAAAAGGAGTAGGACATAGGCTACGTTTTATCTCAGTCAGACGAAATTGTGGCCGTAACTAGTTACTTATATGATTTTCATACTGTAGTCAGTTTACGTTACGACTCTGTTTGCTTCACAAGGGCCGTAAAGTCAATTTTTATATCTAACAACATTGTAGTTTCAAATATTCATTTACAAAATTAATATCTACAGGTACCTACCTTAATATTTTTCCTGTTATGGATAATAACTGTGTTGTTTTGTTGTTTTCCTCATTATCCGGCTGTTTTCTCGTATCATTGCCGGCTATATTTTGCTTTAAGCTTAGATGTTCGTTCGAGCGTGTTTTATTTAATTAGTAGGTCCGTTAGTCCTTGTACCTATGGAATATTGTTCAGAGAAGCGTATATTCACACAACCTATAGCTTGAGTGCACGCCCAAATGACGACGCCGTTCGGTAATGTTTTCATTCTGCAGCAGATTCCTATAAATAAATAACCATAACAACGCGTTAACGGCGGGAGGGGAAGTAATATGATTGAAATATGCTCTGCGTTGTAATTTCCCATAGAAACTTAACATTTCCTACGAACCTTTTTAATGTAATGTTATATCAGTGAAACACTATTCAAAAACATGATTGCTCCCTAAGGAATTGTTTGAACCAGAATTCTAGTTTTCGGTCTCCAGCTCTCAATGTTACTAACATATTATGTCAGGTCATTCTTCATGCGATTTCCTCTATAAAATTATAATTCGTTGTATGTTGTATGATTTTATACCTTTCAGAAGACTAAGAACGGATTTAACCCGAAAATCGCCGTATTTTTGTCAGTTTCGTCCGACACTTATGGCCTTCAATCCGTTTTTTGTAAATATTCGTTTTAATTGTGTCACACTTGCTGTAGGTCGGTTCACGTATGAATAATTGTTGTCTGAAATGAGACCATATTGTTTAATTTAGCGAGTGATTCATTCGTTCAATCTAGTAAATTGATTTGAACTTGGTCATTGTAAATACCTACCTAATATTGAATGGCTTCAATGGCTACTCCATTGTTGCAATTGCATTGGTTATCTAAACTAGACAGATATCTAAGTGTATATAATATATAGAGAGAGATGATAAGTTGCATTTAGAATACCTATATAATATTTTGTATTTTATCAGGAAAGGTACCTAGTTGTAGTTTTGCTAGTGATCACTAGCGCACATTTTATAATTAAATGGGATTTATACTAGATTGTTGGCGTCATTAAAAAAAAGAAACAAATAACTGTCTGACTCCATAGACGTTATTTTACCCCCCTATCGTCACCTAAAATGTTCATTTATTCTTATCTGATTTAAAACTATCCTGTCACTAAAGTTGGATGAAACAATACAAATTAACAAAATTTCTTTCTAATTGGTTTTCCGGAGCAGTTTCCGGAACAGTAGAAACGTCATTAAAATGTATGTATATGGTTGGACGAACCTTCAAAAAGACTTTTGAGTAGTAGTAAATTATGTGTGAACTTTAAAGTTTCAATGTTTAGAAACTAGGAAAGCATCTAAACGAAATACGACAAACAGTTAATATTTATACAATAGGTAATAGAGTTTCTCTCTGGTATAGAACTACAAAAATAATATAATTTATTTAATCCAATGTATGTATTAAGGATAAAGAATAATAATGGTTTTCGTGTGGAGGTCTACTGATTTTATCTTCATTTGAAGGATACTTAGCTATATTGAGATATTAAGATATAATCTGAGGGATATATTTTGCGTTATTCATTTTTATTTTCCTACGATAATGGAATTGTTTACTGACACTTGATCCTTATCACTAATATTTACGCGTGACTTTGTTTACATGCCCGTTTCATTACTTAAATATTTCAATAAGAATAAAGATGTTACTAAATTTTATGACAATCTACGGAATCATTAAGGATGTAATCTGTGTATAAAATTTCATTCATATCTGCTCAGTAATATCTAGCCGTGATTGCGGAACAAACATTTGAGTATTCTTACAATCGTAAATCATAGTATTATATTACCTGTAGGGTAGACAGAAACAATGGAATGCCAAATGTTATGTACATAATATAATACACTTCATGATAATTTTAGAATAATATGTAGGATGTACCTAAGCCAATGATAAAGTAGGTAAGACTACAAAACAGAAAAACGTGCATCAAATACCTAGGTGCCTGGTTTTTTAAATAGAATCTAAAGTAGTGGACAGATTCCATTAAGAGACCTTCAGTTAAGCCTCTGTTCGTGACATGGTAATAATGTACCTAAGCATTGAACCACCTGATCTACCTACAACAATTATATCTATTATTATCTCATTCTACCTACTGCAATTTAAATTATAACTTATTTTATCACTAAATAGTGATGACTATAATACTAAAACATGGTCCTACGGGGTTGCCTGTATCCAAAACTTCAAACTGCTCAGTTAGCTATGGAGAGGGCTATGTTTGAAGTGATAGTTTCGGAAATAAAAATACCCGTAAAAGAACCAAAGTGACTGATATAGCACAAAGAATAAGCAAACTGAAGTGACAATAGGCTGGACACATAGCTCAAAGAACTGACAACAGATGGAGAATAGATATTCTTGATTGGCGATCCCTTATGGGCATTTGCAGTGTAGATCCACCCCTCACTAGATGGAGTGACGACCTCAAATGCATAGCAGGGAATCAGTGGATGCAGGTGGCTTAAGATCATTCCTTATGGCAGTCTATGGGGGAGGCCTACGTTCAGCAGTAGACAGATAATGTCTGAGATGATGATGATTCCTAAAAGCCAATCTTAAAATCTGGTGTATGTATTATCTTGATACGCAATCTAAAAGTAGTTAATCTCATTGGTATTCCTACCTCCAAAATCTAAGCATTGTAAGTCGCTTGTAAAAGCTAGTTTATCATATTACTGCTATTAATGTTAATATACATCACTAAATATTGATTATGTCTACCAGATAGATAATCAGTTATAACCTATAATATGAGTAGATAAATACCTCAATCGAACCGAAGTCTCAACTAATACGGGAACAAAAAAAAATCAATAAATCTATCCCTCTTGTTATATTTTTAGCTTAGCCTTTATAATATAGAAACCGTATTAAATGCTCACTTTAGGTTAAAGCGATTCCATTATTTTCTTTGCTGCATTTTCTTTCGACGTCGTCGCTTTTCAGGAATCTAATAATCTAAAAGATTTAACAAAAAAGCTGGTCGCTTGGTAAAATATTAAATTTTCAATTGAAATGTTACTTGATACTGTTTAGTCACTTAATGTGATTACTGTAAAATAATTTTAGAAGTAAGACACCTTTTTAATTTTTGTTTAACAAAGTTATTAGTAAACTAACCAATTATGTTAGGTATTTAACTTAATCTCTAATTATGCTTTTTTAATTATTTATATAATGTGACGTGTTTGATTGCGTACATTTCACGTTGATTGCGTATCAGTACGCGGCAAATTTATAAAATATCTTGTATGTTATGTTAGGTATATAATCTACTAATGTATCAAATTTTATTCAAAACCATTCACCCGTTTATGCGTAATTGATTAAGAAACATTTAATTATCATACAAAAATTACTTCACGTTTATAATAATAGCATTATTTATCTTCAGAGTAGTCCGACTAATTTCAGATTGAAGTTAAATACATACCCAACTAAATAAATATTTATGATAAAGTATGATTCACGAAAATTATATTTTATTAAATTAATTAAGAATATATTTTGTTGAAAGAAATTAATAAAAAAATGCTAGAAATAAGTACACATATCTTCTGTCTATATCCAGAAAAATATAAAGTAATATATTAAGCTTTAGGTTAACAATATATATAAATTATAATAATAATACTTAATAGACTAAAACATGAATAATAGCACCGATCTTAATTCAAAGGAAATAAATATAATATAGTACAGGTCAGGCATTTCAATAAATTCCATTATTTAATGATCTATATTTGTATTAAATTATTACAATCTCTTTATATATCTTTATTTATAAAATAAATTAGGTATTGAATGTTTTACATTGCCTCTTAATTTCTTTATAAAAGGTCTATTCTTCAATTGCGGGTTAAGGGTCATAACCTTTAACCCATTACACACCGAAGTCTTCTGTCGTAATATTTTTATAAAATAAAATAAGACCCTAAACACGTTTATTAAAAATAATGAAAGGTACTCACGGCGCTTAAACTACTAACAGCCTCTTCAGCATGAATAACTGCAAAATGACGAATTCATACACCCAGCCACGAATCGTCAATTATAAAACTTTCAAAGAAATGGACATAAAAAACCACACTGTCACCAATAATGTACACGGACTCTTTTTTACAACACTCTTAGCTTGATATGGACCGATTTAAGAATGGTTACTTAATCATTCCACATGAAATTGCGTAGCCGGTGGAGACTCGGTGGAAATGCGAAATTTTCTCCGCTACAGCGAGAGGACTGAGGGTTGGAGCTACGGGAAAATATAAAGCCTCGACCGGGATTCCAATGAAAAACACACATAGAGCAAGGTTCAAGCGCATACTGACTCCCTCGCGCATAATGACTCAGACGTGAATCAGAGGAGGTCAAAACGATTACGCACTGTACCTCTTTTTCTATACCGAGTTTATACGACATTTTCCGAAGTCGAGCGACGATAACCGACCACCAGCGAAAGCTCAATGAGAAACGATAATTCATTATAATGTGAAAAAGGACATTTCCCAGAAATACATACCCACGGTGACTGTCGCTTTAGACTTTTGGAATTTATGTAAACGCCCAAGAATTTGTTTTGATTAATATAATTTTCTTAGGGTGTTAATTGCTGTTTCCATCTAACCATACTCCTTTGCAAATCTACAAAATAAATATGCTCACAACTGTAATTGCAAACGGGGCAGTTTTATTACTGAATGTCAATGTCAACTATTTACTCGCTCTCATTTGGTACTTATTGGAATTTAATATTAGTTCTCGATTATGCAAAATAGTTGTTAGTAATTAATTTTCTACTATTTCATAATATTTTATAGCTGCTCTAGTCATATCCTTATTATAAACGTGAAAGTGAGTTTGTTTGTTTGTTACCTTATAACGTCTTAACGGTTAAAACAATGTTTATGAAATTTGATATACACGTATTATATGGGATGAAGGATAGAGTGCTTTTTATTTTAGTTAGTACATATCCTGGTCACGGGGGGAAGTCGCGAGTAAAGGCTAGTAAAAAATAAATTTATACAGATTTGTAACCATTTTGTTCTATTGTCTCTTGATTACACGAATATCAATCAAGTTTTTGTTAAAGTTTTTTGCTATTTCCTTTATCTTGCATTGACGCCACAGCGATCAATCAATACGTAGTGATTGATATAAAAGGCATTTCGTACATTATCCATTTATGGTTTGACATCGTTCGTTCATTTGAACCTATAATTTCTTTGGGAGAGTAAACAAGTCCATTTATCAGAACTAAGTAAATACCTAACGTTCTTGAGTGGCGACCTCGTACAGGCAAACACAGTATAGGACAACCTCCCCATTAGATAGAGAGACGGCCTGAAATGCATTGCAAGGGAATCTATGAGTGCAGGTGACTCAGGACCTAAGGAACGGTTCTGAGCCACCTGCATGGCTTTCTATAGGGGAGGCCTAGGTGAAGTAAGTACCTAGTTATTTTCCTTAAAAATTTTTGTTTATTGACAAAATCATAGATTTGGGATCGAACCCTCAATTATGAACACTAGTGAACATAAGTTAGGCTTTGGTGATGTTTTAAGAGATATGCTGCTGTTCATCCTTCGACCATTAAGTACGTTTATCAATTGTCTATTATAATATAGTTAAAAATGTGTGTTTTTTTCTAATGCCATTATGTCACCTGTTGCGTAGAAATAACGTGTTTAATGGATGATAATGAGTCTATTACAAATCGGTATCCCCGCCTGCACTATAGGCATACTGGCGGGGCACCAGTGAGGGATGAATGGTGTGAATGAAAAGGCAGATCAGTTAGTCCATCGTGACGAATTAAATTACTCACGATGATTTCCACCGCGTGGAGGTCGACCTTATAGGATATGTTGATAGCGATGGGGACTGATCTTCCCATTACTAACAACCCTTCTCCCCTTAGAAATTATGTGTGACCTGTATACTGTGTGGTATTATCTAGAGTCTGTTGAGGATATTATTCAAAAATAAATGTTTTGCGTTCCTATAAGACGAGTATGTAAGATTAAAATTGATTATTTTTTAATATATGCTATTTCTGTAGGAAAAGTATTCAGTTTCACTCATAGGACATTCTCTAAAAAGGATGCTCATTATCTCAATTTCATTGTATAATGACCGATGGTTACGTTGTATGGTCAATATAGAAGCATAAAATATTAAATAGGTAACTTTTTATTCGACATTACCTATATGCAAAACACTATAGACTCATTAATACGATTAATTTGTATTATACTAATTGAAACCATTTATGAAGTAATTTTTTAATGAAATTGTGATTAATTTTAAATTCTATTTATATTATAAATGCTCTTATTAAACATAAAACATGTAGCACGAAAGTTTATAATTTAATAATTTTATGTTTTCATTTTTTTTTGTATAAGTATATATTCTTTTATTTCTTTTTTTGCGTATGTATCTATGTCTATTGTTATTTGTGTGTTGTAAGTAATGCAAATAAATTATATATTTATGTACCCGTTTATTATTATTTTTTATTCAAGGCCGTTTAGTAGTTTTTGCTTGAAAGAATAACAAAGATCCATGCATACATCAATACAAACTTTCGCAATTATAACATTAAAAGGATTTGGCGAAGTCGCACAGCTAATAATAAATCTAATTCATCTTTATATTAGGTATATTAATAATAAAATTACTATAAAAATTAATATCTTTAAAATATTGACAATGGATTTGTTACTTTTTAGTGTCTATGGAATTTGGTATTATACTTACCTACTATATGGGATGGAGTAGGACATAAGTTATTATTATCTCGATCAATAAACATATCAATAGTGTCACGAAAATAAAGTTGTGGCTAATTGCTAGTAATAAATAATTTTATATAGTTCAACGACCAGCGCAAGTCATGAATTCTTAGAATTGGCACTAGAAGATCAGATGCGTTGCCGAATTCTGCGCTTGAAAATTTTAAATCCCTATTAAATAGTAACCTGTAATTACAGTACGAATGTATTTTACAGAACAACCAATTCCCTAGTCAATATATTCATAACTCATGCTCGATTGTAGCAATCAAATACCGTATAGTAGAATCGGATATTGGGATGCTGCTGTAATCAATGACGAACATATGTACCTACATAACTAAGCAAGCGGTAGTTCCTGTAATGTAGGTACATGAAGATACACGGTATTAGAAGGTACCTATACAATTTATGTGTGTAACAAACAAACATTCATCCATCATTACAAATTTTCACATTTATTATATTAATAGGTTACGTATATGTGTTGTGTATAAAATCCCTCTATTCATCAGTATTCAAATTACATGTGTGGACCTAGACACAATTTTATTCCTCTTGAATATTTTATGAATAAGTACAAAATTAATCCCACCATATCACTATCTAGAGGTAAGGGATTGTTAGTAATTGGCCTCATTATCATTAATAATATAATAGTATCATATTTGAACTCTCGCCGTTAGTTAATTTTATATTTTCGCGTTGTTTACACATTTTATATTTCAATACACTGTCGGGACTTAACGCGGCAATAAAGAAGCAGGTATGTAGATTCGATTCCGTTTACCTGCATAAAATATTTCATCGCGTTAACTCCCTGCCGTTGCCCATAGAAACCATCAAATTTAATTAAAATACACTGACGCTCATACCTGTTGCTCATTGTTTGTCTCTCTGAGGATTATAGGTACGTTAGGCCTTCGTTCTCTATCATTTCACTGCCATAAATAAATTGAAACATTCAAATACAGCCTCTTGCTGACAGAAACAAGAGTGGAACAAAGATACTCATGCAAATGGCTTTAGTACAAAGTCTTCCATAGGTCTGGAAAATTTTACCTTTGTATGAAAATATGTAGGTACGTACAAAATAATTCTTGACGAACAATGAACCGATGTACATTAATAATAGGAACCGGTAAACTTACTAATTGAAAACGAAAAGTGTTATCCATGTTAAAAGATACCTCAATTACGTAGGTAATCCTACTTCACCTCTAATTAAATAAGGTACATCGACCTACATTACGAGGAAAAAAGGAGTAAATTGAGTATCAGCACTCATACCAGTTCATTATCTGACTGGTGGATCGATTCTTGACACGGGAATATGAGGTAGTGAATTTGAAAATTTTAGCTGTTATATATTTTTTATACCACTGTGGTGGCGAACAAGCATATACAGCTCATCTGATGGTAAGCGGTTACCGTAGCCTATGAATACCTGCAATATCAGGGGCGTTACGCGCGCTTTGCCGACCCTGAAGAAACTCTTTACCCCTTTTTTGAAGAACCCCATACTGTAGTCTCTTGGAAAAACCTCGACAGGGAGCTCATTCCATAACCTGAACATTCATGGGAGGAAACATCTTTGAAATCGCGCTTTACGCGACCATCTAGGCTCTAAGGTATGTGGTCGTGCGCATCATGTTGAACAATTTTTCTGAGCACTGTCCGTTGTACATATAAGCGGCAGAACACGCAGAAAGAGGCAAAATCTCCCCTAAGACTTAAAAGTTTGAAACCGCTTGTAAGTAATGGTTGGATAATATTCCATAAAATACGCGCGATGCCAACATGCTGATTATTTTAAATCTATTTGTATATATTGACGATTGTGGTGTGAGGAATATTACTTATTCCCATTAGTTTATTATTTTGATAATTTTTCAAGTGGGGCCTAGCCCCTTAAAAAGGTACAAATGTAGTTACTCTTTGACATGTCTTTGGACATAACTGAAAGTTCCGCTCCTGATCCTGGGGGGGGGGGGGGACCACCAATTAGTTCTGGGATAGGCACGAAACCCTTTAAATCCCTCACTGGCAGTAACCAATAGCGTAATTATTTTACTTTAATTCATTAAGAAAAAAAACACGATGCTTTTTAGAGGGACCAACAAAATAAAGGTCCATGTAATGGTTTTGTGGAGATCGACCTGATAGGATATATATATGGTTTCCAGGGAGAACCACATGAAGGTCGACTTAACAGGGTTTTTTTAATGGAATTGTATTGTAGCCCCATCTGCGCTATCGGTATACGCTGGCGGAGTACCAGCGAGATATGATAGGTAGAAAAGAAAAGGCAGGTCTTTTTTTGTAATGAGTGATAATGGGATGATAACCCCACCTGCGTTATCAGTATACGCTGAAGAGACACCCGACAGTGAGATGATAGGTGCGAATGATCAGGTCAGTTAACCTATTGTGATGTATACACCTGGAATTCAACACGATGGTTTCCAGGGGGAACCACGTGGAGGTCGGCCGGACATGGTATGTTGCCAGCAATGGAACTATTAGTTTGTATTACTAACAATTGGAAATTATATTTATTTCTAGCTAATTATTATTTTCTCTATGATATGCGGATGTTTCCAATTACACAACTGTACGTTATTTAATAAAAAATATTTATTGTTCACTGGCCGGAGGAAAGTCGAGTAACCTATGCGCTGGCCTAACAATATAAGTAACAAGTGGCTAAGTTTAGGTCGCGCATAGCGAAGGATCGGGTCGATTGACGGAGCCATGAAGAGCCTTAGCCAACAAGGGATAAACCCGGTCTAGGATAGAATATTATTATCTTGTAAATTGAAGTACTTTTCAAGACTTAGTCAAATTTACTGTGTTTAACTAAAAAACAGTCGACTGGCGCTTAATCATTTTAAATCGCTCATACAATATTAGTCGGTAGGGGAGAAAGGGATTGTTAGTGATGGGATCTAATTGACCCATTGCTAGCAATACACCCTTATCAAGTCGACCTCCACGCAGTTCCCCCTGGCAACCATCGTGATTAATTATAATGGAATTCGTCACAATGGGCTAACTGACCTGCTTTCGTCGTTACCTATCAACCCTCACTGGTGCCCCACCAGCGTGTATCGATAGCGCGGGTGGGGTTACCATTTCAATATCATCTATTAAAAAAAATTAATCGGTACTCAATTGTTTCCAGTTTTGAGAATAATATATTATTTTACTTAAATCTTTAACTGAGCTGTCTAATAATAATATTACTAATAAATAAAAATATAATTAGACGATTTTTATACATGGTTGGTATTTCAGAAAAAAAAATTAATGGATCTTAGTTTCAGTTTGAAGGGTGGGATACGGCGTGAATTTACTGGGTACAGAGGAATAACACTCGAGTCCTCAGGAATGGCAACGCATGGGGGGTATCATGGGCGAAACAGTATACTCTGTTATGTCCATGGTACTGCTCATGTCTATAGGCGACGGCACCACTTTCCATCAGGTGGACCGTCAGCTTGTTTGCTATTCTAAGTAGTATAAAAAAAACATAGGCAGCAATATACGAGGTTTGTCCGGAAAGTACGTATAAAAGTTTTAACAAAAATTTAAAAATTTTATTTTACAATTATTCAGGTAAATCAATTTTATCCCCTTCAAAGTACTCCCCCTGTGACATAATGCACTTGTGCCAACGCCGTTTCCACTGTGAGAAGGCTCCTTGAAAGTCCTCTGGTTGTAGGTTTCTCAGCTGCCCCGTCGTAGCTTTTTTTATCTCATTTATGTCCCCCAAATGCCGCCCCCGAAGTACCAATTTGGTTTTTGGGAACAAGAAGAAGTCACACGGGGCCAAATCCGGCGAATAGGGGGGTGTTCGGTCACCGTAATGGAATTTTTACTCAAAAACTCACGGAACGATCTTGGCGCAAATTTTTTCATTTGAAGTTCGTTTCTTAGAATTTCGTGGACCACGGTTTTGCCCAAATTAAGCTCTTCAGCCACCTGTCTGACCGTTAAACGACGGTCCCCATTAACACAAGTTCGAATTCTTTCCACGTTTTCGTCGGAATGTGAAGTGGAAGGACGTCCTGAACGTGGGTCATCTTGAACGCTTTCTCGGCCCTCTCTGAATCTTTTTAGCCACTTGTGGACGGTTGGTTCCTTCACAGCATCATCCCCATAAACTGTTCTGAGATCGGCAAAAATTTCACGGCCATTCTTGCCGAGTTTCGAGAGAAACTTGATTACGACGCGCTGCTCTTCAACGGAAGCGGGCTCCATGCCGACGGGGTTTCGTTAAGAGGTAACTTCACAGATGGCGTGACAAGCCAGTTCGCACCGCACGGCGGTCAGACCAGAACTGAAGCATTGTTAGGGACATAAGGAAGGGGTCCTGCGCTTACCTGGCCTCCCCACTCCTCTTTCTCGCATTCCAGAACACTTTTATACGAACTTTCCGGACAGACCTCGTACTGTGCTTGTCATCGACCTACACGTAGTCCCCTTGAAAACCATTATGGTTAATTCACGCTATATCCCAACCTTCAAACCGAAACACAGCCATGCAAACAGCTGCTTCACTGTTGAGACACGAATAGGACAGAGGTACCCAAGCAAGCGACTTTTGTACAAAGTCTCCCTCTTGTAGCATCCCCATTGCTAGTCAACCACTACGCTTAGTAATCTTAGACAGTACTATTATAGTGGCTATCCTGTTTTGTATCAGGTAATAAATATTAGATTGAAGAATACATTACACGTCGCGTATAAATGATACACAAAATTATTGTATATTATGTATATTTTAGTAAATTTCTATACCTAGGTATTTATATCGTTTTATGGACGGATCTGTTACAATCACGAGATTCATTTATTTACCCTTGCTATAAGCAATATTTGTATTAAATTAATCCCTATTTTTAATTACAATGTCTATTTTTACTACATAAATTGATTGAAAAACATTAACATATAATATGAAAATCTAAAAAAAATATATAAATTTATAGTTTAAATTACTCAAGACATAATTGATTCAACAATATTGGTTACATTTACAAATTAATCACTGTTTTTAATAAAATTACTTTCACTGGCCACTATTTATGTAGTGACTCTGTCTTTTTTTGTATAATAATCCTTACTTAGATATAAAAAAAAAAATGCTCCATATTGATAAGTTTAAAAAGGAAATAAAATATTTTTATTATAAAAATGATATGTTTTATATTAACATATTCAATTTGTTTTTCTTAACACTTATGACTAAAATGGGCGTTTTAATAAATCTTAATATTATAAGCTATTATACAAAACAGTCCTTTATATTAGTAATAGATTATTGGAATGGATTGCAATGCCATTTTATTATATAATTTATTACACGCAATTTATTGCTTATCAGTTCATAACTGTTCAGTTCTATACCTGTGATTTAGATGCTAAATGGTAAAATTTTATAAAGAACCTCACAGACTTATTCCTTATCATATATTACAATTCATCAATTATAACATGGTGGCAAGAGTAATAATGTGTCAGTAATCACTGGTTTTCCTTCTCAGAATGTCGTAAAAGGTAAATATGTATTTTTTATACTATATGTATTGTGTTGTTTATAATTTCCTTACAGGAAAAGTTAAATAAATTGGAAATTTTTATATATTAACAACATGCAATTTTATTTTAAATTATCAAATATCATTAGTATATAAATTAAAAGAAAAAACAAGGCTTCAACCATTTAGTATCTAAACAACAGACATCACTTAAATATCCTCAATTAGGTTAAAAGTGTTTAAATATAATGAGGCAGCTATTTTTTAACATACTATAGATAATTATTTAACGGAAATGTATGAGATTCTAATTGGCAGTCAGAGGAATTACTTGAAATAATACAAAGATGTATTACAAACTAAAGTTGTAAGAAATATTGTTTAGAAAAAAAATCTGTTCATAAAAGATAAAGAAATGTTATAGGTTACAAATATATTATATATTTATATGTCATATTTATACATATAACTTAACAATACTATGTTAATTGTACATTAACATAACATAAGAGTATCCTAAACTTTTGAACTTGGTGACAATATTTGTTTAAAACAATTTGTTGCTGGTATAAAGTTAAGACATACTTATGTGTTAGACTATTAATCTGGTTTATTCAGATTTTAAAGGCAATTCTTGAAATTGAAGACTTGCCAGAATCTATTCTGGCAAGTCTTCAATTTATTCCTATATATTCCTTTTCTATAGAGATCTATAAGCAAAAACACATGAAATAAACATCAATATGTTGTTATTTGTAGTCTATTAAATGTGATTTCAATTTGATCTAAATTTTAATTTCATCATAATTTGCAGATATGTATGTTTTCACTATGTTTCACTTTTGAGTGAATTTACATCATAATCGCCAATTCAATATTATCATTTGATCTAAAGAAAAACTCCAAAATATTTTATGCATTTTGGGTAACAAAGAAGGCACTATAGTATCCTTTTGGCGAGATTCATATTACTTGGATTCAAAAAGAATCTAACACAAACATAATTGACACTCAACAATGTTTTATAAAACTTTATGTAAATAAATTACTACTGCAAGAGTACTGAATATGAGTGTTAGAGATTCTTTCAGGTATGATGAATGATTACATTCATCCGAGGAACAATAACATTCCTCCCAGTATACTCCATTAGGATAAACACCCCAGTTACAGACCCCAGTCACACCAGTATCAGCAACAGAAGCACATCTTCTGATCACTTGACGCCATCTACCATCCCCTGGAAAATATATATATTATAATAAATTAGTAGAAAGAAATGGATTGTTAATCATCATAACTTTTCAATTCATGATCTTTACCAACAGAAATCTGTTAATGCTTTATATAAAAATACTTTTTTATATAATTAACTCTGTATTATAACTTGTCATTCTATTTTTAAAATAATTACCTATTAATAAATTTGAATATTTGTAATTAGCTTGCTTCCCCATCCCTTGCTCTTTCGGAAAGAAAGGGGTGGCCTATTCTAAGCTGGGATTACACAGCCAAATACTTTATTAATGTTAATTTATGACAACTGTAGTTACAATAAATAGATCTCAATTTTTATAATATCTTTAATAAAGCTACTTTTTTACAATCTATATTTTTTTAATAAGATTAGCAAAATTATTTTTTCCTAAATATAAGCATCATCATAATAAAAGAAAAAAATTAAATTTATGGTAAATAAAACTTACATATAAATCCCTTCGGTCCTTGTTGTGTCAATTTCATACAAAACGAGCCAGGCATATGAGATTCATCACTGTTACACTCCACTGCTATATGACTGTCTCTGTCAAATTTCTTATAAGCACCGCAGGTGTCTTCTCCTTTGTTATCTTGGGACGATGCACATTGGTAACACCTAACGCAGAACACTGGAAATTCAGATAAAAATATTACTCGATTACATTTAAAAATAAGTATCTAAACATAACTAAAATGCCGAACAGAAAATATACTTACCAGTCGGTAACAAATAAATAGTCAATAAAAGTACCAGTTTTCCAATCATAATTGAGAATGTTATGAATGTTATTACTTAAGCAAAACAAATGAATGCTGAAGTTAGAAACTATTTTTCTTTAGATCACCACCAACTAATCAAGAAACTAAAATTTAACGACAAACAAATGTCAATCAAAATCATTGAAGCCAAACCCAGTCCCAGAGTTACCAGACGCGAATTGTTATTTTTACCTAAACATCAAATATATTTACTTCGAATTGATATGGTTTCTAGCGATGAAAAAAAACATTTCTTCCGTTTCTACTTTTAGCTTATCTTATCTTCTTTTTCTTTTATCCCATTTTCTGTTTTGAAATTTAATTATGTATAATATTGTATTTGTATACCTCTGCAGAGTATATAAATACCAAAAAATATCCAAATTTCCTCAAACCCATTAAATGTTTTTCAATAAATAAAAAAAAAAAAATCTAAAATGACCGGTTAACGAACAACCGATAATTTTTTATCTACAATTACGAAAAAATATCCAATCTGGTAATGCTGCCTAGCCCAAAATTCAGCCAATGACAATTAATACTTGACCAAAGATTTCGCAATTTGACAGTCCAAGCCCATTATATAGGGATGTTTATGAGATAAAGACAGCATCAGTTACTATTGATTACAGATTCAAAATTAATTAATATTATTTTCTCATAAATATTTTGATTGTGTTTATTAAATTTAAATTGAAAACCTATTAGTTTTATTAAAACTATCGATTAAATCAATAGTACCCACAACAATCAATAGTACTATTTGTTGATAGTAAAAATTACAGAATGTGTCATATGTTAATTATAAAAATGAAAATGGGTACCGGGTACAAAACAATACTATCAAATGTATATATAGTTCTTAAATGATTATTAATCGATAATTGATTATTGTAATTGATTTTATGCCTCTTTTTCTATATCAGTTTAACTACATAATTAAGATTTAATTTTATAAATTAATTATATAGTTTATTTTTAATTAATTTACTGTACAAAACGATTACATAGTATTTTTATTGCCGCCCCAATCTGTCCTAATTAATCGATTCATAACGAGTTGACAGTTTCGAATAGGGAGTCTGTGGAATAGGGTAGCGATGCAACACAATACTACTTATTTCTTGTTTTGATTTTGTACTTACATACATATTTTGAATATATTTTAGAATTTTATATAACATCTATCATGATGATTAAGTGGTGTAAATGTTTATTGGTTATATTTATTGTTTTAAGTATTATACCCTGCAGTAAGTATTGTTAGAAATTTTTTAATGGTAACTGGTCACGCCCCAAGTTTTGAATGTAAACGTTTAATTTTTAGCTTTCAGTATAAAATGTTGGGATTGCCGGTCCAATAATGACCCAAAATGCGCTGATCCTTTCGACAACAGCACTGTTCCAATCACCGATTGCAAGCAAGAAAAGGGTCTTGTACATTTGCCTGGAGTAACACCTCAAATGTGCCGGAAAATTAGGCAGAAAGGTAATAATATCTTTGTAAATAATTACAGATCAATAATAATTATTTATTGTTAATTTTTAATCAAGGAACTTATCTCTAGGAGACAATGTCCTAAATTAATTGAGTTCTTTATCAATAAGCTGAAAGGTTATAATTTAAGTTTTTTTTTAAATAATAAGTTACATTGAACAGTATCATTATCAGTTTTAAAATTAATTTTAATGATTTATTTTGTAATTACAAATTAATTACAGTATTGTAAGTCACAATTGAATTTACAATATCTTAAAAACTATTTTGAGTAGAGATAACAAAATATTTGTTCCATTGTTAAACAATATTGAATAACTATTCAAAATTCTATTCTTAGATATTACAGAAAAATACCAATTTGCCTGTGTAAAAAATATATGGCAAACATTGGTATGTTTGCCATATTCTGATAGGTCAGCCATCAGTCTCATCATCATATCAGTTGTTAACAGTCTACTGCTGATTATAGGCCTCTGGGAGGTTTTTGCCAGTAGTTGCCACACTTGGCAGACGGTTTGGCAACTACAGTTAGACTTTGATTAATGTTTTAAGAGTTTTTATGTTTTACCACATATAGTTAATGGAAATATGATATTAGGTATAACAGAACATGAGTCCGCCTTTAGTACTAAATTTTTGAGAAATAATATATAATGTATAAGAAAGAATAAATAAATAAATCAAATGTATTTAAGTTCAACAAATTAATGTAAATGTTATAAACATTAATTAATTTTTTTTTTTATTCTACAGTAAATGGTGTGTGGCGTTACTTCAGAGGGTGTGCATATCTTGGAGAAGTGGGCATACAAGGTGATGAGAGATTTTGCCTTATGCGAACTGGAACATATAACATATTTATTGAATATTGCACATGCAATAGTAAAGATGGATGCAATTCATCATCTTTATTCAGCCCTATGCCATTATTATTATCAATAACTGCTGCATTTGCTGTAACATATAAGATTATTAATTTATAGGATATATAATACAAAACATTTAAACTAATTTTTTTATGTTAACAGATAGTGATCTGTTTGCATTAATCACTAATGATTTGATTTACAGTAATTTAAAAGGTCATGTCAAATTTTGAGACTATAATCAGAGGGTTAAAAATCGGCTTTATACTACTCATAATATGATTAATTTTTTAATAGGCCACTACAGAATGTATACCTCAGAGTGAGGTGCTTTCTAAATTTGATGGTTAATATTAGAATTAGTGTAATGAAGTTTTTTTTTTAACTAATCAGGATATGAAAATAGATATATTAACACTAAATAAGGAAGATGATAAACAAAGATGCATTTAAATGTTTTGTTGGGCACTTATTTTTCTATATTGACTGTGAATCTTATTACCATTGGCATGTTTAGGATTATATTAATCTGGCCCCTTAAAAGAGATCAAATATGCCTATGGTTATTACAGATTATTTGGTGGCCTTTTTGAAGTTATCTTATAAATAGAATACTATTAAACAAATCTTTGAGTTTTTTAGAGTTACTGTACCTAAATGTGAATCTCAGACACATTATTTTTCATTGTAAGAATAATGACTAGATAAGTAATGTAATCTACATTTAATATACAAATCTTATATACAGTTGAGAAGGCATTTTGAAAATAACTGATTCAATCTGAGTGTATTAGTGTGAAGATTATGGATTAAACTGAATGATTGAATGTAGCTTTATATTGAAAAAATGATTTTGAACCTCTTAATGTGCCTTGAATATAATAACATATATTTTAATATTTGGTATCTTAAACATTGGGACAAACATTTTTATCATGTTTCATGTTACTTTTTACTATGAATAAAAACCTGAGGATAAACTATTTCCTATGTAGATTTATCAATTCTTTAGCAAAATTGTGCACAAAAATACAAATCTTCAGTAAAATTGTGCAATCTTTATAAGTTTGTTTTAAAGCTAATTATATGGTATTAAATGCCTGTTTCAAATTATAGAGTATTTAAATGTACATCTTACAGGTGTAAGGTGTAGACTTTGGGGTAATGGAAGTGCATTACGCAATATGCAGAAACAGTATAAAAATACTGGAAACTGTTTTCAAAATTATTTCTAGAAATAGTTATGTGTTTTATAATACTAAGTGCCTTATAATTCTTATATTTGTTAAATTGGAATTAATGATACTTTATGTAACATAATTTGCTGCTAGCTGTACAGTGTTTGGCTTAAGTTTATCAATATGGCTTTAGATATGCTTGCAGATTATATTTTACTATGCTGCTAAATTTTCTGTCCTTTAAAATATACCTTAATGTATTCTGTACCGTGTTCCACTGCAGGGCAAATATTTCCTTATGTTTGTTTTATTTGCTTGAACCAATTCTTAATGTGTCCAACCCTCTTATACAGGTAGCAAATAAATACATTGGTACAAGCATTTTTTTTTACGTTCACAATAAAAAATGCAATATTCAATGACCAGATATCGAGTCAAATTTATAATATTTGTATAGTTTTGATTTTTTATTACATTGGAGTGTCTACACCATTGTTCTCTCGAGTATTGTAACATTGTAATAATATATTCGGTTTTTAGCACATAGCTACTTATAAGACTGAATTGATACCCGTCCACTTGAAATAAACTGTATAATTTTCTTATTAAGTATAATGATATGTAGAATATATCCATAGCTACTAAAAATAAAGTTTTTTTTGGTAACAATTAGTTTTTTTTAGTCTGTAATAACTTAAACCTAAAAAGAACCTAGAGGGGAAAGGGACTGTTAGTAACGCAGACTACCAGTCTCATTACTAGATATATACCCTGTCAGGTCGACCTCCACGTGGTCGCTCCTGGAATCTATCGTGCTGAATTCCAGATGTATGGCAGGTCAGTTAGCCCATCACAACGGGTTAATTGACCTGTCTTTATCCTGTCATCCCTTTCTGGTGCCCCGCCAGCGTATACCGTTAGCGCAAGCGGGGCTACTATTCCATTATCATCCATTAAAAAAAAGAACCTAGAAATGGAAGGCATATACCTAGTGATTGGTTTACTTCTCCATACGACATAAAAGGGATACCATGGGTGTCCTTATAGATGCTACTTTATAATTGCGTATATTGTAAGGATATTCCATTAGATGATTTGTCCGATTGCTTGCCATTTCAAGTCTTATAATAAAACTAGCGACCCGCCCCGGCTTCGCACAGGTGCAGTGTTTATACTAAAGATACCTACCTACTACAGAATGTCCTTATAAACGTTTAAAGCTTTTTTTGTCATTAGACAATACAAATATGATAAAGTGCTATTCGATGCGCTATTTATAGGTATTCGCCGCCGCGGCCAGCCGGGCCAATACCGCCGTAACGCTATGTTCCTGCATTTTAAATCTGTAATATCTTCGGAAATATTTATTTAAATTACATGCTGTAAAGAGCTATATTGATCTATATTAAATGGGCAATGTATTTAACGCACTTAACTGGATAAAAATTAATGCTGTATTGCTTAAAATCACTTCGTAAATAAGCCATTTTTTCCCGTAAAATGTAATAGATAAGAAATGGTTATTGTGGATTATCCTTAAGAGATAGACTTATACCATCGCGGACTTTTTTGTTGATCTTTTTAAGGTGTACAATACTGTAGTACATTATTTTGATTTATTTTGTGGGGTTCAGCTAGCGTTTGTAATGTAATCGCAAAAAAATGTGTTTATTTACGACATCACATTAGAAATCTCTAAATTTATCAGTGTTTCTTTATTAGTGTTATTAGTGTGCATGTATTATACATATAAACCTTCCTCTTGAATTACTCTATCTATTAAAAAAAAAAAAAACGATTCAAAATCCATTGCGTAGTTTTAAAGATTTAAGTATACATAGGGACGAACAGACAGCGACAGCGACTTTATGCTATGTAGTGATGATATTGTATCAATAATGTGGATATTTAATCATCTTGATAATTAATTAATTGATCAATTTTTAGTAATTGGGAGTGGTCAGCTCCTATTTCTATTTAGTGTATAGCTATTATTACAGATGTGTAATTCACTAATTCTGAACCAATTTTATAATTGAAATATTTTCAAGGTGTATAATAATTTTGAATTATTCACAGAAACATTTTTAATAAGCGTCCTAGGATCTTTGTATTAAGAGAAGGCAGACAATAATTTTATTTAATATATCATTCAACGTTCAGAATAATTACAGCGTAGAAAAATACATATGTTACTAAATAGGTTCGATCGAGAATCGAATCCACGATTATGAAAAATGCAACTTATCTTAAATGATTAAGACCATATAGTCCCTGCATAAAATTGGTTACCCTTTCCCGTGAGTATCGTAAATGGCGATTAAGGGTGGGTGAGGGATAGACAGGAGCGTCCTTCTTATATAAACATATCTAAAGCTTAACTGTGGTCCCCAATCCTGCCTGCCAAGCGTAGCAACAGCCAGAATAACCTTCCAAAGGGGAGGCTTATGTTCAGCAGTGGACAATTAAAGGCTGTTATGATGATGATGATCTTAAATGCGTCATGGTATAGAGCTGGAAGTTTTAAATGAAAAACAATATCGGGAAACAATTTTATTTAAATATACAGTAAAGTGACCTAATAATTATTTTCGTCGTGACTATTATGAGATTCAAGTCATGATTTTAAATGCTTTATATATAAATACAAAATTATTCCAAACTGTCTGAAATAAAGGCACATGCAGAATGGTCCGTTGAGGTTAAATGTTAATAATATAATTGTCAGAGACCGCTTATAGTAACAAATACTTAGGTACTATACACATAATTCGAACTTGTTAATCGATTAAAAAAAATATATTTACACTTTAAAAATAAATCAACTATGAAACTAGCGTTGACAAAATATCTGCTTAAAATAACCAGATGAAATCTAAAACGAGATTAAGTAGCAACTTAAAAAAAAATATTCACTACAAATATAAGATTTTTTAAAATATGAATTGAATTGTAACAATGTAAAATTAGGTATGTACCTATTCGATAATTTCCCTCGGTAACTTTTCTTCAGTTTATTTAATATACAAGATACAAGTCTGTAGACTTCGGTAACAACCGGTGGGTACTGGGATATTTATTGCTGGTGGTCCTAACAGCATTAGGGAGATAGATAAAGAGGAAACTATCCTCAAAATAAAACACTCGTTAAGATCTTATCGTATTACGATTGATGAATATTTATTAAACGCCCTTTGTTAAAACAAATGTTTATTTGAACTTTTGACTATAGACACAAAGGTTTCCATGTTGACCAAAGTTTACTGATGGTACTCTATGGTAGGTATAACGACGTGATTCGAGAGTAAATGTAATTTTCTTTATACCTTTATGTGTATCTATTTACCTAATGCGTATAGGCAATAACAATTACATTTGTACTATATTTAATGGAAGTATTTTAAATTAAATTATTTGAAGAGAAGTAGGCCAAGTGGCGCCAGGAGTAAGGCTAGAGTTGTACCAATAGTGGCAGCACCGTTGCAACCGTCGTAGTCGCATGTTTCACAGAAGGACGGGATCTCGTTGGTGCTGCTCGAGTAGTTGGGGCACTGGTTACTGTAGTCGTCAGTTCGCTTCCATGTGCATCCTCGGGTAACTACCAACAGGCCGTTGACTGGAAAATGATAAAGTTTTTATGAAATAACATTTATAACTTAATTTCAGCTTACAATTATTGTGAGTAAAATATAATACACCGCCTCTCCAACATGATAATTGCAGCTTTATTTTTTCTTTTTGAGATAAAAACCATGCCTAGAAATGAGACATTAATGGGTTATCATGATATGGTTATGTTAGGTTTTTCATGTAACTTAGAAGGGTAAGCAATCTGACGGTCCACTTGATGAAAAATGGTTCCTACGTTTTGGCTAAAAATGTAATCCCTTAGATTAGTAGCCATTTCAGAAGCATAAAGTCTTATATTATACCTCGTAATTTCACTGCCATATCCCATTTCTCTGACTAAAACAGCTATGAAAGCATAACTTGGCGGTAGAAAACAAATGGGACAGAAGTAAAAATAACACTACCTAACATGACTTTACCCATTGAGTTTTGTACTGTGTTATTGTTAACAAACAATTAGTGTTGATTAACAAGAACAATAGAATTATAAGGACATGCAACCTCCATACGAGATGTAGATAATTGGAGTTTGGTGTGGCATTGAAATAAATACATCTACGTCATCACTAAGAACCAAGTTGACATTGAAAACATACTTTAATGCGCTTCTTATGTGGAGGAAACTCTTATATGAAAAACAAAAGAATAAAATTACATATTAGGTAACACTATAACAATAAATAGACTGGGAGTAAATATTTATTTTTATGGTATCTAACACTATTTAAAAAAGTATGTATAATATGTAATTAATATACTTTTAATATACTAACATGATATATACCTAAGTATATTTATGATATGATCCAACATATAAGAAAGCAAATTATTCGCGAAATTAAGATCTTATGATATATACTTCTGTTAATGAAAAATCTACAAGTAGACAGATATTATTTCAAGTATAATATATATAATATACGTATGTGTTATCTAATATATAATATATATATTTCCATTTACTGTGAAACAAATATTTCTTTCATTGTAAATGTAAGTACTTGCTGCTAAAATGCCTTCGGTAAATGGTATCAATCTATGAATATCGAGTACTTGACCTACATATAAAACAATGGATGATGGCAAAAATGCAATTAGAAAAAAATGCCATCAATATCTATAGGCAAGTAGGCATACCTGTATTTAGTATGCTGTATTGAAACTTTGAGAGATATCAATAGTATAACTAGGTATAACGATAATTATTGTCTATTCTAATGTACTTAGCAAAAAGAAATAATAAAATATTTTCTTTAAGACAGCTACGGATTATTTAAAAAAGAACTTACCGTATTTCTTTTGCTTCTTACAAGCAGACTTCGAAGATGACAGGTAAGGGAAGGTTACTCCTGTTCTACCATCGCAATTTTCCAATTGGAACTGTCCAGAGTATTCGCCTCTGCCAGCGAGGAATGGATCATTGCAGAATGGGTTTATGTCAGATGAGCATGTCCAGCAGCTAACCGAGTTACCTGGAAATAAAGCAAAGGATTTTTAATAGTGTAAAGTGTAGTTGCTGTACACTGATTATCTTAGTGTCGAAATTTGTAATTCTTCGGAAGCAAGTGACAATCATTTTTCAATATTTTAAAGATAAATTTGAACTCGCTTCGTGTTTTGGAAAGCACAGTAAAAACGTCATTTGTTAAGTTACGTCAGAGACCGTTGAGTATAATATCAGCTGCGTTGGAGGACTTGCATTACGAGTAAATAGGCAAGCGAGTTATTCAGTCCAGTATTGGTACTAATATTAAAACAAAATACTCTTTTAACAGCTTAATAATTGTCCATACACGAGGACATATCAATGAGGACAGCTTGATTCATGAATGCGAACAACCAAAAGAGGAAATTCTTCCTTCAACGGTTGGCCGCGCTATGCCGGCTCACAAAATGCTTTTTCACGCTACGCTAAGTATCCAAGGTTATAAGATGATGAAGGGCGAATACATCACGACGAGGTTGTGCCCTCAAATGTTCGTTGTCTGGTTGCTCATAATAAAGTACAGGTAGTACTCATAACACAAGGTATCCTAATATAACGACCGTGTGGTTATTTTGTGGCAAAGGTGTGAAAGAGAGTTTATTTTTGGGTACCTCCTGGCACTTTAGTGGCTTGAGCAATATATAGCATTTGTGATGGAGAAGGACATAGACTACTTTTTAATCCGATTAAATATTAGACACTGATTATGTACCAATATTTTAAAATTATGTATGTAGGGTAGAATGGAAATTTATCTAAGTAGAACAAAATATGCTTTAGACTTTTTCGATGACGTTAAAAGTGAGTATATCAATAAATTCATAAATTGCTGAAGTGATTATAAGTAGTTATGATCTTGTATATTTGTAAATATTATAATACTTCAGTTAGGCTTAGCTACATTATACATAAATTTTGATTTGTGCTATATTTATTTATAACTACTGTATATTAGTTTTTTTTTTCATATCTAAAAGTAACCTAGAAATGTTTTTGCATGCAGTCGTATCAACCTTCAGAAATAAGTAGATGATGATAAAAACTTAATAGTTGTCTCGCAAGGCCCTTTCAGTCAGTGAATCGGTAGTCGCATTTGACACGGTATGCCGCTCTTTGACAATAGTCGAAGGTAAGTACAGTACAGAACAGATAATAGTGGGTACCCACCTACAGTATTGTAAGTTATAAACAAGTATTAGGTAATATAGTCACAATTATAGACACGCGCAATGCGCAAAAAGAGTACGTGTAGGTATAATAGCGTGTAGCAATGACAGTGTAATCACGAGTATTAAATTAAAATAATGTAAATTAAAAAATAAACTTTGATAGCTATTTGAAGGTTGACCACGCAAATTGCAAATTGTGTAGTAATATTATAGTAAAAATAAAAAAGAAGCAAAGTTAAGAGATACAATTTGCTATTATAATAATATAATTGGACGATGTCACCAAATTTAATACTTCCACAGTTGTATTCTTGAAGGTCTAACTTAAAATTTGGTCTACGTTTTATCGTGATACACCATCTAGAAATGATCTATTTCATTGGTTTTCATATTTCTGAAATCCAAGTTTACAAAGTAATGGGCAAAAAGTTAGATAAAGCTAATACAACCGTACCTCATCTGCCTGTATATGGGCCCCCATTAAATAAATTTTATTAAACTGTTGTAATTGACACTTTTTTCCTTTCGGATCGCAGTAAAAAATTGAAAAATTAGCAAAATCCTTGAAAAATTTTATGATAACCGAATCGTCGTAAATTAAGAGTCAAGGTAATCAAGGCATTACGGGCGGGACATAGGTTATATTTGTTGTTTTTCCAATTCAGCATAATTGGTAGAAAATGTCAACCTGTTAATTATATGTGAACTTAAAATCACATTAATTTTGTACTAAAAGCTTTTTGATGGACGGATAAACATTTTTGGCAAAACAAACAAGGGTACAGAAAAATTACTTATCTTATTACCTGTGCGACTACATAATAAAAACTACTTTTTTTATTTGTTAACAAATAGATAATATTTCTTTTTCTGTGTTGGTCAAAATATTTTTCCACGTAAATAAAAGTCTAGACTCTTGTTTAGTTAGAACCATAACTTATGTTACGTTATCGTAGTGTTATAACTAGATGGGATTAAAACTATTTCTAAAAAGACTCTAATTTCAACAGTAATTTTCGTGTGTGTATATTTATACAATACCCAAAGAACTTTGAATTTTAATGGATACTGACGACTGTTTTTGTATTCGATGAAGTTCATTATCTTATTAATTTTGTTATTTATATTAAAAGTAATTGAACTTGGTATTTATAAAAAAAATATATTATTTTCTACCTATGAGTTCGAGTTATAATGTAATAGGTGGGCACACGTGATAACAGAAAATGAGTCGGTAGTTGACTAAGTAGATTATATTAAATGAATCACGTCATTTACCACTTGCTATTGTTTTCATGCGTGAGAACCGTCTCGAAGTTTTTAGAAGAAAGAAAATACCTTTGTTTACTTGGCTTGAGCCGAAGTACCTATTGTACATTTGTACATTAATATACATTTAGAATGACGTAAATGTATTTTTATATTGTAGGACAAATTATAATATATGAAAATATAATACTGCAGTCTTTAGGAAAGTCAAATTTAAGATTGGGTGATAATATGTATTCCGTGATGTACCTTGTCCAGTTCATGTCCATTTGTAAGGTTTACTATTTTCCTTCATATGGTCTGCTAGCATGTTTGCCATTCTAAGTTGTATATAAAAATATATTAATTTCGAAAATATTTTATTCCGAAAAATAATTCGTGACAAAATTATTGGAAGAGTAAATATCGTCTGTAAATTGTAAATTTCCTTTTGGCAGTCATTTAAACATTGGAACAGATTTTAAAATAAGCACTCAAGTAATACATTAATAGGAAAGAATGCAGTTTCACTCATGTAAGTTAGGTACTTGTTATATACCTGTAATACCTATTACAATACAGAATTATACACTTGTAATTCTAGTTCCTTACTAATAAAATAGATGTCAAAATAAGTTTGTTTGTTTATTTAATATTTATTAAAGCCTTAATGGCTCACTCAAGTATCAACAGGTATATTTGCATTTGTACTGTTTGAGATAAAGAAATAGACTACCTTTAATTCCAGTTAATATTTCGGTTACGTAGACCAAGTCGTGAGTATATATCATCATAGACGGTAACTGACCACTGCTGAACATATTATTCCCAATAAAGGGGGGTTTTGCCAATATTTGCATGCTTGGCAGGCTGCTTGGCAATTAGCCTTTGGAAAAGACGCCGTTGCCCATCTTTCAACTTTTAATTTCCCTTGGTTGCTTCTTATTACATCCAAGGGAAAGGAAAGAGTCGCCCATTCCATGTCGGGACCACGCGGTATACATATACGTATACATATATAAATTAAATAGTCTGTATCAATTTGTTTTAATTTTTAATTATGTACTTACTTTTTATTCACGATTTTGCCAATCTAAAGGAAATATATTGATTAACCGGGACTATAGGTAGTTTATTTCTTCATATCAAATAGTACAAATATACCAAATTTTACGATAAAAGGGTGTACCGTTAATTTTCCAGTATATAGCGCTGTTATTTCGATAAAAGGACATACCAAGATTATTTATTCGCTAATCGTTGTACTATAGACATAAAAATTAATAGTTATACCCATTTCTAGCTACCCACATAATTGTTATGAATTAACAAAGCGTTGCCATTTCATTTAGCACTAAATCGCAATTAAAACAACAGCTTGAAGTACTTACTCTGTTTATATGTTTAATTTTCCAGTTCAAGTCGTATATGGAGTTACTCAAGCACGAATAGTGCATTGACCGACTTACAAAGGTAGTAAGAACCTCGCTCCACCGAGTAACGATAAAGTTAACCATCACGACGCTTGGTAGAACCAGGCCCAATGAATATTTCGTAATAATCATAAATTTGATTGTAAGAAGATAGGAACATTCCCATACATATTTATATATCTACACAATGATAAGTACTTATGTACAATGTTACAAGTAGCATATTTTTTTATTAAATATAAGTTAATTTAGTTTGATTAAGTTAAATCAGTTTGATTAAGTTAATTTAGCTTGATTAACTTAAGTTTGAATAAGTTAAATCAGTTTGATTAACTTAAGTTTGATTAAGTTAAATTAGTTTGATTAAGTTAAATCAGTTTGATTAAATTAAATCAGTTTGGTTAAGTTAAATCAGTTTGATCAAGTTAAATCAGTTTGTTTAAGTTAAATTAGTTTGATTAAATTATATCAGTTTGATTAAGTTAAATAAATTTGATTTAGTTAATTTAGTTTGATTAAATTAAGTCCGTTTGATTATTTTAAAACAGTTTGATTAAGTTAAATCAGTTTTTTAAGTTAAATCAGTTTGATTAAGTTAAATCAGTTTGTTTAAGTTAATTTAGTTTGATTATTTTAAATCAGTTTGATTGTTTTAAACCAGTTTGATTAATTTAAATCAGTTTGATTAATTTAAATCAGTGATTAATTTAAATCCGTTTGATTATTTTAAATAAGTTGGATTAATTTAAATCAGTTTGATTGTTTTAAATCAGTTTGTTTAAGTTAATTTAGTTTGATTAAGTTAAATTAGTTTGATTAAGTTAAATCAGTTTGATTAAATTAAATCAGTTTGGTTAAGTTAAATCAGTTTGTTTAAGTTAAATTAGTTTGATTAAATTAAATCAGTTTGATTAAGTTAAATAAATTTGATTTAGTTAATTTAGTTTGATTAAATTAAGTCCGTTTGATTATTTTAAAACAGTTTGATTAAGTTAACTTAAGTTTGATTAAGTTAAAACAGTTTTTTTAAGTTAAATCAGTTTAATTAAGTTAAATCAGTTTGTTTAAGTTAATTTAGTTTGTTTAAGTTAAATTAGTTTGAATAAGTTTAATCAATTTGATTACAAACGTAATTA